TTGGAACACCTTTTCCATCATTATATGCTTTGATAGATGATGGAAGCTTCGAAAAAAGTTTTTTTGCATCATCAAAGGATTGAGGAATTGTATATGGAATAATGTCACCTAATAGTTTAATTGAGAATTGGTTAATGGTTTTACGTGATCCATTTTCAACGTTTACATGTACACCTGCACCTGCAGAAATTGATGTTGACATTTCTACAAGATGAGTTTTCAATTCTCCGAATACTTGAGATCTATTGTCAATATTTGTACCCTTATATTCGAACGATGCCATAATGGTTGCCCCCCATTTTATACCTATTACTACGTGTGTTGCTTCTAGCGTATTAAACGCATCTGTTGAAATATACGATTTAACATTTTCATTAAAAATCTCGAGATTTTCTTCAACTGAAGTCATTTTATATACTAGTGTGCCTTTTACAGTTCTAAGACTGTCTTTTCTATCATTTAGATATTTGCCGGACCCATCTAATGAAACTAAACCTAAAAGAACACTTATTCTTAACTGAGGGTCAACATCTAAAATGTTAAATTTTTTCATGTATGAATCTTCATAATCATATTCTAGACTAGTATTAGGAATATTTACTCTGTTTATAGTATTAGGCGGTAACGCAGCCTTAAATACTGAAATTTTGCAAAATGTATCTTTCGTAGCATCGTAAAGTGATCCAATAGCTGCTACTCTTCCTAAAGCTTTTCGTTGTATAATCCTTTCAGAAGCTGCCATATATAGATGCCAAACGATGTGAAATAATGCAGTTTAAATTTATTTAAAATTTTAAGTAACCTTTGCCATTAATACATTACTTTAATGTTTAAAGTATAATAATGTAAATATAATATTGCGCTTGTGAAAAAATTTTTTTTTCCTAATCGTTTTTATAATAATTTAAAAAATTACAAGTTTAAGCAATTTAGACACATAAGTACGTATAGTGCAAGGAATATAAGACCACAATTATTACTTATAGAAACAAAACATATCTATTGAAATTAAAAATTTTACATTAACCTATAGTTTTAGGTTTCTTGTACTGGAGAAGAAATACAAAACTGCAATCTTTATAACTTATAATCAAGTAACACATTGAAGTCAAATATTTCTTGAATTATCAACTTCAATAAAATATTTCACGTACTGTACACACATTAACGTTAATAAATTTACTGTAGATCTATACTATATGCGTACTTATATACACATGTTTTTTTTTGAAATATTTGCATCAATCGGATACTTTAGTCCGCGCAATACGGTAATTTCAATGGGTTTTGAGTCAAATAAGAATCCGACAGGGTCGAAATTGGCCAACACTAAGCTAATCAGGGTTCTGTTTATCAGGATTTTGACCAAAACCCAGTTAAGAAATTTACTATATACCTAATTAAGTGGTGTTATAATTTTTTATTGTACGTATAAATATTTGCATCGATCGAATACTTTATACTTGTCTCTATGAGGAGTATGTATAAGATATTGGTCATGCAATGATTAATATCATCTGTCGGATCAAATGATTGGCTGACATTAGAAATGGGCAAGGTAATTACTTATTACGTAAAAAGTTAAATCACACTATGCGACAATTTAGCATGTTATTAGTTGTAAGTATATATTATTAGTATTTTTCGCACAATATGATTTGATTTTTTATGTAATAAGTAATTATCTTGCACGTTTCAGCCCAACAGAACAAATTTTGTGATATTTATCATCGCATGATCCAAAATCGATGTTATTGTGCAATTATGATCATGATCCAAAATCGATGTTATCGTGCAATTATGATCATGATTCATCACATGATCCAATATCAATGTTATCGTGCAATTATGATCATGATTCATCGCATGATCCAATGTCGATGTTATCGTGCAATTATGATCATGATTTACGAGTCGTGGTTGGCTAACTGAGTTTTGTTGTACTTATGCAATAACGTACAAAAAATAACAAGAAAAAAATCTATGATCATAAGAGTTTGCACGATAACTATTCATGAGTGTATTTGGAATCAAATAAATTTGGTTTTGCGTTACAACGCACTATTATTGTACACAAAATACGTACTGTACATATAAATACAAAAAGCCTAGATTGTAAATAGATATTGCATTGAAGATATGCTAAATTTATTCTTTATTTACTTGTTTGAGGAAATAATTTTCAATAGGTAAGAAGACATATTTATAATGCAAATTACGTAAGTACGTACATACTAGTATAATATTCACTTTGATTTTGCGTCACAACGCAATGTTCATTTACTTATTGTACACAAAATTTGTACGTACCTGTACACATAAATAACAAAAAGCCTTGATTGTAAATAGAATTTATCTCTTATTTACTTGGTTGAGGAAATAATTTTCAATAGGCAGTTATCATTAAGAAAGACATACTTACAATGCAAATTACGTACATACAATGTATAATGTCACTTGGACGAACCTATGTAACAGGATTTAGCACAAGATTTATTGTTATAATATCTTGCATTTAACTTGGTATGAATTTATTCAAATAATCTTATAATACGTATATGTTGTAAAGGTAAAACGGCTAATTCGTCGGATGTGTCGTGTAACCACTTGGGAAAGTCAATTCAGATCGAAAGAGGTGCGTTAGATTTGTCGAGTGGTTTGCTTTGTTATAGTCGTGTCTACTGGTAAAGAGGTTTCGAGTTTGGTGTTTGTCTAATGTACTAGAGTACTTCTATGATTACAAGTTAGGGACAGAATATATAACGACGATTGTATTTAATAAAGATATCTTATTGACAAGCAAAGGGTGATTATGAATTGTATAGGTTATGTATTGAATGCAAAGGGGAAGGTATTCTTCCCAAAAGGCATTTCGGCCTTTATTTAGAATTAAAAATCTCTATTAACATTATGCGAGGGATACGACTGATATCTCTGATTCTACTGATACAACGTATTCCACTGATATTCCCCGAAATTAGTGATTGGATCCGGATACTTAAACGGATATCGGATAGATATCCACTTTAAAAATGTCTATCCGGATATTATCCGATTTTCAAATTTATCAAATCGGATTATATCTGGATTTTACAACTGGATTTTTTTTGTTTTTATCATTATTTAATTTACTTTTATCACACTACTTATTATACTTATAACAGTATAATAATAGCTATTTTTTGTATTATATAATAACTAAATTTATTACTAGAATAAAATTAAAAGTATTCTCAAGTGTCTTGATTAATTAGACAAAAAGTGTCGGTAAATAATTTTACTTAGTAAAAACTATTTTTTAGAGGAGTCAAAAGTGTTATAGAGACATTTGAGCAAACTTTGATTACTTTATAATTTGCATATTTGATTCATTATTAAAAATTTTACACAAATATAATTATCATTATGCACTATTATGATCACTAGCTAATCCTATTGAGGTTGAGGCTTGAGAATGCCTTAAATCTTCTAAAAACATTTAAACAGAATCAAATTAAACTTATATTAATACACAAACTAGTAAACTAGTTTTAATCAAAGCATGAAAATAACATAGCTTAAAAATGTGTTGTACTTCTATAGCTTGAGATTATTAATTCTATCTGCATTTATTGTCAAATAAGGTGCAGACATTAAAGTATAAAATAATATAAAGTGTGAGATAATTATTCAAGTTTTATATGATGTAAGAAAATAGTTACCTCTTATCTGAAAAATGTTCATATCTCCTATTAAAAAGTGTATTTAAAAGGTAAATTAGTTTTTCTAAATATTAAATTCCAATGAGCAATATAAGCTTTAATTATTAGCATTAGCAATATTTATTTTTTTCAATTATGTACTATATCAAGACTTTGATCAACTTAAAATACTACAGTTTTCACAACTTAGGATGATATTTTATGAACTTTTTTATTATGTTCCATTTATTATCATATATATGTTAACTAAAATTAAAGAATTCAACTAATTTCTATATCTAAAACTATCTAATTAATATGCAAAACTCAGGATCTTTAAATGGGAGACTCTGAAAAGCATAAAAAAAGTTGATCTAAATATCGAAAATTAGAACTTGCTATAACAAAACCAGAAGTTAAGTACTTTCTCTTTATTATGTTCTTAGTTCTTATATTAAAGAGTCTAATTTAATACTAATATTCTATATCTTTTTCTTTTTGCCAGGTCTAAAGATGCTAATGGCTTGACTCAACTTGTATATTTATTATTATAAAAACTAAGTAATTAATAGAGTTAATTGAGTTGTTAATATCTTTAACCAGGTCTGATTCGAATATACTATCCTAATTATGAATTTCAGTTTATGATTTATAATTATAAGATTTCTGATTATGTTAAACAATCATGTAATCAATAGTTTAATCAATAATGTATATAAATACAATTTGTACTTAATTACTAATACTTTTACTTTTCTTTTACAATCAATTAGATATTTTATAAAAAAGCATAGGGTAAGAATTACTACAATTATGAATAACTAAATTTATTAATTAAGAATAATAAATATATAGAATGTCATACTTCTGCTAAATATTTTTCAAAATTATAAACTCAATGTATTTTTTTTGAAGCTAAAAGGCAGTCTTATATGTCTTTTATATTATTAGCAGTCATGTTCACTATATTAATTATATTTTCAATATTTAAACAGAGATACTATATCTATAGTAAAAATTATCTTTTGCTTACTGTATTCAGAGAAGGGTATTATTTCAAACTTGTACTAAAAAAGGGAAAATTGTGATCAATGTTCTGAAGTCTTTATAATATAAAGTTTAAGACAAAAAAATGATTGTATATCTTAAAATTTTTCATTCTTTGTGTGTTATAATTTCAATCTATTAAATAGATAAGATGGCTTAGTTAAATAAGATTTTTTTATACAAAAATGATACAATATTAACATTACATTAATACAATTGAAGCTTACTCACTTAAAGAAATTTTAATTATGGGTTATTATTTAACTTCAAGTTATTATTTCTTGTTATATTTTTTTATCATTAAAACAGAATTATTTTTTATTATTTCACTAATTCTGTTTATTACTAATAATATAAAAGTAATAAGAATGAAAATACTGCAAATAATTTAAATACTATAATTTTATAAGTATCATTTTTTATTTTTTATATTATTCTATACATATATTTATATATATACTAACATAAACTATCTTTGTCAAAAAACTAAAAATAATAAAGAAAAATAAGCTAATATTATATTTTTAGTAAGTGACTTTTTAATAAACACTATATAATATTTATAAGAAGTTTTTCAAAATAAAATACTATAATATATAATGTAAATACTTACAGTTGGTAAAATATTTCTTCTAATAAGAATATATTTCATTTAAGAAACAACATTCTTTCAAACAAAGATGGGTCAAGTCATGTTTGCTTAAGAGACATCATATTGTCTGCAGCTAAGAAAAACCTTTCACTTGATATAAAGGTGGCAGAAATTCTGAGGTATTTTCTTGCTAGCAATGATAATTGTGATAATTCTTCTTTTTGTTTATTCTATTAGTTAAAAGAATTGAGTTTTCAATTAATTTCTCTTATCTCTAAATATTTTTTAATTTCATTCATATTTTGAGTATTAGTTGCTTTGCCAAATATAAATTCTAAAAATCTATAGTCTTCAATATTTGTTGGGTTATTTATATTATTACTAGACTGTCTATAATTGGATAAACTATTTAAAATATTCTAAAGAATTGAATTAGTATTTTTATGTTCCTATTCTGAAAGCTTTTCATTTTTTGTATTGGGGGTCTAGCAAAGTTGCAACTAATGAAATTTCTGTTAGGCTTTTCTAATAAAAATTTAATGCCCTATGTAAGCTGCATTTAATTTTTTCAACTAATTCATCACAATTAATAAAGTCATTAACTTTAATTTTATATTCTTTAATTGTTGTTTCAGTTTTGAAAATCTTATCATAATCAACAACTAAATTTTCATTTTCAAAAATAGTATTTAAATTATCTAAATCAACAATTTTAATATCATCATACAACATATTATCTGGTTTACAATTTTGGGTTAATATTGTAATAGCTAACTACATAAACCCTATAGTAGAATATTTATTATTATCTAACAATTTAGTTACTTTAGTAAAAGGTTTTAGAAGCTTAGTGAGACTTATTAATGTATTCTATTCATTTGATGTTAGCATGATAGATTTTAGGTAACATGCTTCTTTTTTGGTTTGTCTATTTGAAGAGGCAAAAATCATAATATACATTATATCAATAGATTAATGAAGCTGAATTAGTCTAGTTCATGCAATATAGAATAAATTCGATCTAGTAATTATATCAGCAATGCCACATAAATAAGATTCTTTATTAGCATTAATATCAGAAACTGTTTTTTTAATACTAATTGAATTTCTTCTAACTGTTTTGTCTGTTTTGGAGTTGATAAAAAATTAATTAAATGTCTTGTTCTTTTAACAAGTTTCTTCACAGACTTAAGTCCTTTTTTAATAGCCAATTGTAAGGTGTGTGCCACACATGAAATTTTTTTAATATTATACATTAGAGACATTGCCTTGATCATATTTGCAGCATTATCTGTGATAATAGTAGTTACTTTACCATTTAATCCTTATAAATCAATAACTTTCTCAAGAATTAACTGAATAATACTAGCATTATAAGGGTATATTAAGTGAATAATAGCTAACATTACTTCTTGTAGTTGAAATTTTGTATTGACAAAATGACAAATTACTTCTAAATACCTGCTTTTTGATTATGCAGTCCAAAGATTACATGTTAAATAGCATGAACTAACTTTATTTTCCAAAACCTCTTTTAATTAAGCAAATGCAAGAATATACTCTTCAGTAATTTGAAGTTTAATTTGTTTATCAGATGCCAAAGCATAATAAGGATCTAATTCTTTAACTAGATGAATAAAACTTAGACATTGTACAACAAAAAATAGTTGAAAATCATCTATTATTCATGTAACTAATGCCTTCTCTATTTGCTCTATATATGCAAGATTTTTGCCTATAGAACATCAAAACAAATCTTCAATTTTAGACTAATTAATTTAAGAATTTATTGAATTAGTTGTTTTTGTGTTTTCATAATTCCATGATCTCCTAAATATGTTGCAAAATTGCAAGTTGATCCTTGTATATGAACTATTTGACCACAAGTATGTTTTCTTATTAGAGATTTTTTGTCATTAATTTTAATATCACAACTTTCTTGTTTTTTATATTCAAGAGTTGGTGATAAGGCCTTAAAATAATCCCACACCCAACTTCTATTTTTATATACTTTAAAACTTGTAATTCACTATTTTTTTATAAAGCATTTTTAAGAAAACTTATTTATTGTTTCTTTTACTTTATCAGGTTTACTATTAGTGCTAGTAAAACTATTATCATCATAACTTTCATTATATTCACTTGGTTGAGACATAATTGAGAATATGTATATAGTTTGTGCAAAATTTAATAAGATAATTTTAGCAAGAATACAAAAGACACATGGCAATTAGATGACTTTAAAACTTGTAAAGATATGCAAAAGAACTTTTTTTTTGTGTTATTAATAACCTAAATTCAGATACTTTGTTAACATTTTTTTTATGCTTCTTTTATAAATTTTTCATGCATTCTGATCTGCAAATCACAAATTTTAAAAAGAATTTAAAAAATAAGAAACTTGGACCTGTAAAAGGAAAAAGTTCATATAATTTTCTTTTTTTCTAACTTTTTATTATACTAACTGTACTATTTTATTCTTATTTATATGAATTTGAAAGTTGCATGAATCTCTTTTTCATTCTTATTTACACAGTCTCTGATATTATACCATTTTGGCTTGCTATTTTTTTCATGTTTAAATTCAAACATGGTTACAGATTCTATTAGTTGACTTTTTGGATTAGTAGCTATAGAAGATTAAAATAAAATCAGATTAAAAGAAAGTTTTGTATAATACAAAATAGACAAGTCACTAAAAATATAAAATTTTAGAGGTGCATTTATTTGGTGTTAGGATCAGCTTTAGGAGTATAATTTAGTATAAATAGGTTTTAGGAATTAAATAAAAACTTCAAATTTCATTTTAATCTAATTTTATTATAATTTATTACAATAGGAAACTTGAGGTTATAAAAGGAGAGAAGTTTGTATAATTTTTTTCATCCAGTTATTTACTATAGTAATGATATTATTTTGTTCTTATTTATATAAATTTGAAAGTTGCATAAATTTTTTATAGACTTACACAGTCTCTGATACAGTTTTACTATTTTTGGTAATATTATTTTTTTTTATATTCAAAATTTAAATATGACTATGGATTTCATTAGTTGACTTTTTGGGTTAGTAGTTTTAGACCTAAAAGTTATTGAAAGCAATGTTTGAAATTTCTAACTCAAATACTGTTCTTATGAAAATAATACAACAATAATTGATGTTCTTAAATTGTTGTTTTATTTTTACAAAAAATTGATAAAAATAAAACTAAGATAATGATCAAATTAATCATATGTATTAGCAAAAAGATATCTTCTAATTTATTGAATTCAATACAACTACATTATATCAGAACTGTATAAATCATTATATTGCAATTAGTTACATTCATCAACTATTAGTATAACAAAGCTTTATAGAACACTATTATTATTTTACTGTTCTCAAAAAATTTTTAATAGTGAACAGAAGAATTCTGAGAACACTAATTTCAAACACTAATCAGAAGTATAAGTACTAAGTCACATTTTATATTAATTAGTTTTAGTTGATAAATTATCTATCTGATTGTAATATTGACAACTTTTATTATTATAGCTAGGAATCAATTCTTATCATTCAAATTGAATATTGAATCTTGGACTAAAATGCAATTCTAAAGATTAGTCAGACTATAATTTTGATAACTATATAGTTAATAAAATATGCTTATGCAAGTGCTAAACATGGTACTATTAAAACATAGTGCTGTTCCATACCTAGCACTATTAATATATAGTATCAATGCTTAGTAATTGTAGTTCTCTACTCATAGAATAGAAGAGTTTAACATTAAATGCAAGTATATTTTATAATAATTAAGCTTATATAAGAAGCTTGCTATTTATTTTTAATTTTTAAGTTTGTTTTATTTAATAACATTAGCAAATCTCAAGAATCACATTTAGTATAACAATGAGTCTTATTATTTATAATAATTAAAAATGCTAATTATTTTACTTCAATCTGGCAATAATTATACAATAGATGAGAACTCTTTTCCATAGATCACTACCAAATTTGGACAAAAGAAGAAAAATTTTATATCGAACATAAAGCAATAACTACTAAGTAAATCGACCTTGGACCATTAAGTAAACTTGTTCTAAACAGTAAACTTGACCTAAAAGAAGTGCAAACCTCGGGAAAAAATATTTACTAGCAGCCCTGAATTACAATAATATCAAAAACAGCACTGCAACAAACAAC